TAAATATTCTGTATATTAAAAATAATCTTCTATACACATATTAAAGAATAAGCAATGAAATCTTTATATCCATATTGGCATTTTTTAAAAATTTGCTTCAATATACATGTATACATTTAATAATTCTATAAATACAGGGGGGCAGTGTGACCCCCCCCCCCCCCCCCCCCCCCCCCGAACTGCACATGCTCTTCTTTTTTCCCTAAGGGACAGAAATTCTCCGAATTAGCTTGTTTAAATTATAACCATAAAATTTCAAAAGTAGGTCACAGTGACCTACTTTTCAGATGACATACTTTGAGGATCCAAGATGCATCAACTGACAAAGTTTGATGATTCTAAGCCAATAAGTACCTGATATATTTTTAAAAAGCCATTAAATTTCAAAAGTAGGACACAGTGACCTTCTTTTCAGATGAATAACTCTGCGGACCCAAGATGCATCAACTGACAAAGTTTGATGATTCTAAGCCAATTAGTGCCTGAAATATTTCATTAAAAGCCATAAATTTTCAAAAATAGGTCATGGTGACCTACTTTTCAGTCAACCTCCAATTAGTATCCAAAATATTTAATCATAGTCATATAAATTTAAAACTAGGTCACAGTGACCTACTTTTCAGTCGACCTACTCCGAGAACCCAAGATGCATCAACTAACAAATTTTGATGATTCTAAGCCAAATAGTACCCCAAAATATTAAATACAGCCATAAAATTTCAAAAGTAGGTCACAGTGACCTACTTTTCAGTTGTCGAACTCCGAGGACCCAAGATACATCAACTGACAAAGTTTGATGATTCTAAGCCAATTAGTACCCAGAATATTTAATTATAGTAATAAATTTCCAAAAGTAGGTCACGGTGACCTACTTTTCAGTCGACCTACTCCTAAGACCCAAGATGCATCAACTGACAAAGTTTGATGATTCTATGCCAATTAGTACCTGTAATATTTAATTATGGTCATATAAATTGAAAAGTAGGTCATGGTGACCTACTTTTGAGTTGACATTTTTCGAGGATCCAAGATGCATCAACTTACAAAATTTTATGATCATAGGCTGCAAAATGTCCAAAGAACTGCAAATGATTGTATTGTTCTCCCACCTACCTCCAAGTCAAATTTTCAAAAGTTAACACATTTGAATGATTTTTCATATTTATCTATATAGATATTTAATATATGAATTTTCAAAAAAACATTACTTCTTTGGGAAAGCAAAGAGAGATAACTGTATAATTTTGGTAAAACTTGTGTTTTTCACTATAGAAATCAATGGAAAATAGAAAATATCTCCCCCCCCCCCCCCAAAAAAAAAAAACAACAAAAATTCCTTTAAAAATTCCTTTTTACAGGTAATATGGACTGTAACTTCAGAAATTCATACCAAAGCTTTTTGTGTTTCATGGGGGGGGGGGGGGGGGGGAGACATATGTTTACAGACAAAAAACCAGAAGTCTCTGATGAGACTGTAGCTCTACTGGTTGTATTTATAAAGGAAGATAAAAGTAGCACTTGGACTTGAAACTTTGCAACAGCAATAAATAGAATAATTATCCTTGGTTTAGTCTCTTTTTGGCAAGATTTATTATTATATCAGACTAAAACTGTAGGAGTAGCCTTTTAAAACAATTTTACTGAAATTTTGATTTAAGTAACCATGGCAACATCATTCAACAAAATCAAAAAACATTAACACCAATTATGTATCTCTGTAGTCTACTTGTATGCCACATTATTCTGAAATCAGACAAAAATTGTAGGAGGAGTAGCATTTTGAAAGTATTTCAAGAAAATTTCTATTTTTAGTAACCATGGCAACACCATTCATCAAAATCCGAAACTGGTACAGAGAATTATGTATCTTAGTGTAGTTTACTTGTATGCTAAGTAATACTAAAATCAGACCAAAACTATAGGGGTAGCATTTTGAAGGTATTTCAAGGAATTTCTATTTTTAGTAACCATGGCAACAATGTTCATCGAAATCAAAAACCGATATACAGAATTATGTATCTTAGTGTAGTCTACTTGTTTGCCAAGTTATATTGAAATCAGACCAGAACTGTAGGAGGAGTAGCATTTTGAAAGTATTTCACAGAAATTTCTATTTTTAGTTACCATGGCAACACCGTTCATAGAAATCAAAAACCGATATAGAGAATTATGCATCTTAGTATAGTCTACTTGTGTGCCAAGTTATATTGAAATCAGATCAAAACTGTAGGAGGAGTAGCATTTTGAATGTTTTTAACAGAAATTTCTATTTTTAGTAACCATGGCAACACCGTTCATCGAAATCAAAAACCGATACACAGAATTATGTATCTTAGTATAGTCTACTTGTGTGCCAAGTTATATTGAAATCAGACCAAAACTGTAGGAGGAGTAGCATTTTGAATGTTTTTCACAGAAATTTCTCATTTTAGTAACCATGGCAACACCGTTCATCGAAATCAAAAACCGATAGACAGAATTATGTATCTTAGTGTAGTCTACTTGTGTGCCAAGTTATATTGAAATCAGACCAAAACTGTAGGAGGAGTAGCATTTTGAAAAATTGTTTACAGACGGACGGACAGACAGACAGACAGACAGACAGACGGACGGACGACGGACACATTACTATCGCATAAGCTCTTCTGGTCTCTGACCAGTAGAGCTAATTACAAAAATGCTCATTTTTTAACCAATTTCAAATGGGTTTACAACTAAGACATTGTATTTTATTAATAATATATGTGTAATTTTTTGTTTTTAATTAGTAATCAATGATGCACTATATAATTATGACAATTATTTGCAACTTTTTTGGCGTGAAATTTTAATTGTTGAACTGATTAGCTTGTGATTTGCTTGGATAATGAAATAAGTCTATTCAGTCGTTTAACTTGGTCATTTGGCTTTAATATTTGTTCACTTTTAAGTGCAAAATTTATGATTAAAATTACAAACGACCCGTACTTTAAATATACGTCTCAAAATTCATAACATCTTTCTCCACATGGTTCTTAAAATCTCACTTTAGCAGACAAGTACGAGACTGGTACACTCATTGACCAGAGAATTGTCACAAACAGTATGAAATACGTAACCATATTAAAAAAAAAGAAATAAAAACAAAACAATTACATTTATTTAATATTTTTGTTTATTTTTAATTCATAGTCTATCCAGGAAAAAATAGTTTACGATTATCAGTCAAGCATTTAGTCTACTTCCGTTTCCAAAATGGTGACCATCGAAGAAGGAATGTAAACATGTGCTGAATAAAGATGGCAATAACTATCAAAGAATATATTTCATACATCAATTTATTTGAAAAATGTTATTATATTAAATTCATAAGTAAGTGAAATAATTTATTTTAAGAAAGTCACTAAGTAAACTAATCAAACGAAAAGAAAAGTGCAAGCTTGAAATTTGCTACAATGTATTTAACAATACATGTAGCTATATACATCTATCTTTGGACTCGGTATGGAGCAATCGGCTATTCTAATATTCTGCTAGTCTGATAAAATTTGGCTGACAACTTGACTATTGGATAAAACAGGACCCACTGTACATACATTCAGACATATCTGAGTTGAAATGTCAGTTGAAGTGTGGTCTGTCACCTGGTCTGGTACAATCACTAGATTTAGCTACGTACATAGCTTTATTTACCTACCTAAAGTAGTTTTATTTAGTGATAATTTTCAACTTTGAACTCATCTGAAAACAATTCATGAAAAAATCACTCTTGAAGATGTGTTCTTTTCTGCGCAATTGCAATCAAAGTTCTAAAAGTTTTGGGGCTATATACAACAGTTAATTTGTGACCTAGCTGTTGCTTCTTGAGTGAAATAATAAAGAAAACCAGTTTTGGTTAAGATGAGCACAATGTGAAGTAATCATACTTATCCACCCCTCATCGCACACAAGGTGGTGTACAGTTACTCAAACAATGGAAATACATATTTTCCTTAAAAGTGTTCAAACGCAGCAATGTTAAAACTATCTCTGCTTTAAATTGCTTTTCAAATAATACCTAGAATAAATATTAAAAGACATTTACTTGCAACTTTTTGTCTTTTTAAAATAAAAAGCAAAATTGTGAAAAGTTGCCTTGAAATAGTTAAATAAAGCTACCTGAGGTAGGTAAATAAAGCTACGGTAGGTAATTTTAGCTACTTAGCTAAATGTACTAATTGTACTGGACCTGGCCACTGGTTCTAATTTTATACATTTTCCAGAATCAAACATGAAGACTTGTGAAGAAGTGGATGTAGGGGAAAGCCTGTCCACCGGTGTTGGTGGTTAAGTTACGATTCCGTGTTCGACCTGCGTGGTTAGACCCAAGTGGTTTCGACCTACTCTAATATATATCCCTACATGTCAAGGGTAAACAAATGTATTTTCAGTAGCTGTATATTGTATGGCTTCAGAGATGTACGTATCAATAGGTCATCATTTCCCTATGTGTAGTCAACATGCAGATCTATGGTTTCATAACATTTTTTTCTACTATAGCGGAAAAAGGATGTTGATGAAATTATTTTAATAATGAATTATATTTGAACAGTTTTCCATAAAAATTAATCAAATACTTCTTCAAAACTGCACCATGATCCTATATGCACTGTCTAAACAATGTACGTTTCTCCAAATTAAATTACATACGATAATTAAACTACTTATATTATTAAAATATATGTGGGCGATATAAAAAAAATGTAGACGTAAAAATTAAATCTAAAACTGTTGAAAGTGTTAATTAATTTTGTTCCAAAACAAATTAATTGTTAATTAATTGCTTTGAAACGAAACCACACGGGTCGAACATGGATTTGTGTCAAAACCATGCGGGTCGAACAAGTAATCGAAACGTAACCACCCACATTCTTTCCACCTCTCTAAAGAGAATACCTCAGCTACAGACTTACAATAAGAAAAAGAAAAGTAAAAAAAAAAGAGTTTTAAAGGGAAATAAATTATTGAAGACTACAAATTACCTTTTAAATTTTTCTTTCAAGTCCTTACCACCTGCTTTAAGATCATTCTCTGTAAACTGCCTCATCCAATCCCTCATTGAGGATTTATCTAAAGTCTCTGTATTTTCAAATAGCTCCTCTACTCTGTGAACTGGAATATGGTCAATATGTTCATACTCAAGATCCAAAACATTTTCCATTGCATAATTATAGCAATCAAGAACAACTTTCCTTTCTGCAAGGGAATCGTTCATCATGGCTATTATTTTACTTCTCTTATTTTTCTGACTTTCCAAAAAATCTGAATATGATGAAAACACAACATATGGAGTGAAAACCTCCGGCATCACCTCTACACGCAAGAGGGGGAAAACTTGGTCACTCCAATCGCTACATTTTAACGGTATCTCAGACCCAAGGATAGGACTTTCACTGCTTGAGCGCATATCGCTTCCACCGCTGGTACTAGTTGTTATACCTTCAACATCGCTAGGATTTTTCCGTTCCTGACTATGCCGACTTTCACTTGAATCTGTAAAATCCGTATCCGAGCTGCTGTGTTTTCTCTTAAGGCTGCGTTTTATTTCAGGGCTTATGCTCTCGACACTTGATGTGTCATCTGATGAAACCGTTGACGAAGGAACAGGTCCCATTTCTTTGTTCGCCATCTTAGCGGGTGACGGTGTCAGGGGAACTCGTACTTATGAGTATTCACTACACTCAGCACTAACAGCGTTCTAAGTCTTCGTAACATTTTTCCAAATTAGATCTACTAAAATTGCATACATGGTTCAATTAAATTAAGTATTTTGTTGAATACATGTTATTATTTTAGGGAAACAAATATCGCGCAAAAAAGAAAATAATTGTATATCAATGCTTCACCTATTTGGGTCTCGATTACAGTCGATGCCGCCCTCGGGCTCGCACGCATCATTCAACACTTTAGCTTCCTGCAGGTTAAAGGTTACAATTATTGTTTTTGTTGGCATGATATAAAACCCGTACCATGCGTACGGCTCAAGTGAAGTCAAGTAAATTTTATTTATAGTCGGCATGTATATTTACAGAACAAACATTTACTATCACTAATCATGCTGATGAAAAAAAAAAAACACTAAAATAAACAAAGGAGCATAAATAATACTTTGCACATATGACAATCACAAGTAGGGACAATCACAAAGCACATTTACTAGCATTAATCATGTTAATAGAAGAAAAAACTGGGGAAAAAAAACAAGGAAAGCAACATAGATAGTAATTATACATATGACTAGCACACACATGGACAATCACAGAACAGGAAAATAAAACAAAGCAAAACATAAAACACAAATTCATATTAGAAATAAAAGATACACCACAGAACTGGATTTCTATTTTTTGTAAAGTCATATCAAGACACCTTCATACGTGTACATGATATAAATTTATCTCTATTTATATATTGAACAAAGCTTCATCAGTGTTCAACTAAATTTAGTAAATAAATAAATTAAAAAAAAAAACAAAAAAACAATAATAATATGTTAATTAGGCGGTGTGACCGTTAGTGAGGGCAAAGCCATCAAAAGAACATTTCTACATTTTATTGTTTAATGATAAATCATTGTTAAAATCAAATTGTAATCAGTATTAGAAAATTATAACAACCTCAGTCCTCTTAAAAAGAACCCCTTCTCTTACCTCAGATACGTTTCATTCAAACAATGAAATTTAAGGGAGCCGACTGGGGTTTTATTGAGTGAAAACTACAACAGAGAAACTCTTTAGTTTTATACCATATGTAATTTATAATGACTTCAGTGTACATACCAAGTTTAGGGAAAATCTACTATCTACTAGAGATATTTTTAGGAACCGTCTCAAAGTACAGGTATATTTAATATAGGATTATTCGGGAAAGTACGATTTTTTTGCACTTCAAAGCAAATTATTTAAATACTACAATAGCCTTTTGCTCAAATTATAGTATGTGATGAGTAGTACTATAATATACATTATATGTAAGAAACATAAAATTCTACCTTCTGTATTTCAGAGGGGGCATCTCAAAATGTCAAAATTAACGACATTTTCATGTTTTATGGAGTACTACAATGTATGACTGCACAAAGGATTTCTACAGAACACCTAAAAAAATAATTATGAAATTCTTAAATTTCTATGTTTTAAATCTCAAAAGCTTATATTTTATAATTCTTCTTTTATAACATTTTTTATGACCAATTCCATAAAAACTTCAGTTTATCATAACGTCACAAACACACTATTACAACGTCAATCTACCTTTCAGTTGAAAAATTGTTTTAAAAATCAGTTATATCAAATTGTAATTAGATTTTTAAACCTGTGATTTTTTAATTTTGTCTAATTTTATTAATTATACAGAAAAGGAGTTTTAAAAGAGTAAAATTAATACTCTTCGTTTTACTATGATGCTAGAAGTATTGCGCAATGGAAACCCCAGTCGGCCCCATTAAGGGTACATTGCATTTGGTTTAATAAATCGGAAAAAAAAATTACTAAAACATTCCATCATGAGTCGCATAACCAGAGCAGTACAATTAACGGAGAAATTATAAGAGAGTATGCAGTGGACCAGTCAAGGATTTAACCTACTCAATCTCAAGAGTTCTTTTTTAAAACGTTAACTGTATGTGTCCAAAAATAAACAAACTTGCCTGCACATCATTTCTTTCATCAATTTATAAAAAAAAATATATTTACACAAATGTTTACATTCGGTGAATCATTCAGGCAATCCATAGGTATATCGACTTGACAGAAAAGCTTTTCTGTCAAGTCGATATATCTATGGATCAACCTCATGAAAGGGCTATATTTGTAAAAGAAAACTTATTTGAAATAAACATGTCATGTGTTTTGCAGTACTCTATAGGTATATATACATATACAAATTTATAGTATGCAGTTTAATTGTTTCAACATCATTTTGGTAGTGTCCTTTCTGACATATTTTATTTTATCAAATAAATTCTGCAATATGACTACTTCTCAGAAAGGACAGTAGGAACGGGGGGTAGGGGGGGGGGGCACGGGCACGACGTCTGATGACCTTTTTTTTTTTTTTTGCTTGTCAAGGAATTTCGGTACTTGATAGTGCCCGCCAACTGGAAATGTATGGCTGTGCCCCCTCAAAGTGAAATTGCTTCCTACGGGCCTGAACACAGAAGTCATAATTATACATGTATACCTTTGTATATATTTACATTTTGTTTACTTTGACATATAGCTCAGTTGATAGAGCACCTGACTGGAGATTCTGGGGGACCGGGTTCGAATTCCGGTCTGGTCTGCTGCATGTTTCTCCTCTCCCGTTACATTACAAAGACAAATAAGGGTTAAATTACTTAATTGTAGTCAAAAATGCAATTTAAACGTGAAACGTTTTATCCTAATCTTCTACATTAAGCATTATTAAGATTAATATTAAACAATATTTACTCTATAGATTTACAGGCATATTCATTAATGTATTCATAAAATTTACATGTATCATGAAGTCCTTGCCAATATTCTCTGTCAATATATTGTATGTCAAATTATTATCATTTCTCTGATGTATATGCATGTACAAACCAAAAGTTTGTATTCAAGTGAGAAAAAATGCGCAAAACAAAGGTAAAGATGTACTGATTCATTTAAACTATATCATTTCCCTCTCACACGATGTTATGAATAACAAGAGACCAGTGGCCATAATGCTCACATGAGTCCTCTTGGCCCTTAAGGTCTTCATCAGAAGATTAAAGAAAAATCCACGTTGAATTTTATAAAAATAAATTCCATATTTATACACACCTTTAGTTTTAGAGCTAGAAATAATCCATAAAAGACTAAATGCAGAACAATTTAACATGCAAACATTTGCCAAACAATTCTCTGTTAATAAAAATAGAATTCTGATTTTTTTTGTAAAGATGATAAATGTCTCTAGAACTGCATGTTATACATAAATGTCCAAACTATTCCATAGTGTAGGTGAAAACAATGCTCTTCAAAGGGTAAATTAAAATGGACACAAGATTTAAGCCATGCAATCATATGAAGCGAGGAGTATGAAAGCAATTAAGGGTAATATAACAAACCACAACCCTCTGGCCTACTTGTGAGCTACTTTCAATTGTCTATTTGGATTTTATAACTACAAATCATCATGGATATATCCAATATAATTAATACTTGAAACACTTAAGTCATACAATAAATCACAATATATCACAATGTTATGATTTGCTATAACTTTTGTCCACATTTGTAATATGCACACAGAACTGAAGCAGCAACGTGCTTTTCACTTCTCACCTTTTCATCTGACCAAATATTCATCAAATTAATGTTACATGTTACCAAGGGATAACTATTCACAGATCAAAACATTATTATATATCTTTTCTTAGAATTAAAATGAGAATAAATTTGTATTACAATAGGCACAAGTGCCGTAACGTTCACCTGAGTATAATACAACACGACGAAGAATCCATAGAAGTATAAAACAAAATAAACTAATACATGTAGATGAAGAAATACTTGAATACAAACTTTTGGTTCGTAAATGTACATGCATATACATCAGAGAAATGATAATAATTTGACATACAATATATTGACAGAGAATATTGGTAAGGACTTCATGATACATGTAAATTTTATGAATACATTAATGAATATGCCTGTAAATCTATAGAGTAAATATTGTTTAATATTAATCTTCATAATGCTTAATGTAGAAGATTAGGATAAAAAGTTTCACGTTTAAATTGCATTTTTGACTACAATTAAGTAATTTAACCCTTATTTGTCTTTGTAATGGTAATTGGGGCGTGGGGGGTTGTTACACCTTCCGCTTTTGTTTAGTTCTAGAGATTGGCCCTTTATGGTATTTAAAAAACTAGAGGTAAGAAAAAAATCATGTAAACACAGTTAACACACAGGGTGCCCCGCTTCAAGGGAGATACTCAATGTTAATAATACATAACCAAGGATATTTATGCAAGATGTATTTCAGGGAGATGTTGTTTTACAAACCTCTTACAGACAAACCCGTTCAAAATGATTTATTTTATTAATTAGTGCCTGAAAATATTTAAATAAAGCCATAAAATTTCAAAAGTAGATCACGGTGACCTACTTTTCAGTCAACTTACTCCGAGGACCCAAGACGCATCAACTGACAAAGTTTGAGGATTCTAAGCCAAATAGTACCCAAATTATTTAAATGACTTACTTTGACTTATTCCTGTTCGCTCCTTGGGGAACATAGGGCCGCAACCACACCGCGCCATTGGACTCTGTTTTGGGCTATGTTTTTTTTAATTGGGTCCAGGTAAAACCTGCCTCTTTTGCCTCCATTTCCACGGACCTTCTCTATGTTTATCTGGGTCACCAACCCTCCTCTTTACTTGTGGGTTCCAATCCAGAGCCTGTTTTGTGATATTGTTTGAGGATTTGCGTAAAGTGTGGCCTATCCAACCCCATTTTCTCTCCTTTATGTCAATATATATGGGATTTTGGTTGATTCTCTCCCATAGGCTGTTGTTTGATATTGTGTCAGGCCATCTGATGTTAAGGATATGGCGGAGACATTTATTGATGAAAGATTGTAGTTTGTTGTTTATTGTTTTAGTTACCTTCCAGG